ATGAGACGGACGATAAAAATATAAACACACAGAGATGATGTCAGTGGGAGGAGTCAGGGGGGAAGTGTTGCCCCCCCGAGGCTTGTGATGGTGGACGGAAACTGTAGAGCTCTTTGTCTGTTAGAGGAAGAATAATCTGCCTTAGTGATGAATGTAAACTGGACCCTGTTAGAAAAACATCACAATGTTTTTATAATTCTAGCATCAAACTTTTATTGGACAAAAAACTTTAAAATATGAGGTTTAATATTGGAATAATTCAAACTTTACAAACTGAGATTAAATGAATCCTGTAAATTCTGGTTTCATGTCAAAGACGAGTTCCCAGTGGGGGTGAATCCTTCCCGGTCCAACATATCCCAAGATGCATTGCACTCCAGTAATGAAAATAATATGGTACATGTGTTAAAACCAAGAGAATGAAAACAAAGTTTATGTGAGGAGAGCAGAGTCCTCAGAATCTCTGAGTGCGACACGTCCAAACCCACATGTTCATCTCTTCACATCTCGGCCAGACGTCACCTGATTTCATCCTCCAGAGGACGAGGCGGTGCTCGCTCTGTTGGAGTTTCTGTTCGTTCAGTCGTCTCTCTTCGATCGTCACAACAAGTCTTTATGACATCACCCTTTAATACGGAGCGCTGTGGTTCTGGGTCGGTGGATACAGACTCAGAATACAGCAGGAGGTGGACTTCATGAGCAGCACGTCAAAGTTATAGATTCACATCGAGCACAAACTCTGCAGCTGATTTGATTGACAGTCAAACACAAACAATCACAAACATATAAAATGTGTAAAATCAGCTGCGAGAGTCTGATGACGTGTTCATGCAGAAACAACTGATCCAGGTCAGAGGAGGACCAGCAGCTCAGACCAGATCCAGGTCTCAGATCAGATCCAAGTCTCAGCTCAGACCAGATCCAGGCTCAGACTAGATCCAGGTCTCAGATCAGATCAGATCCAGGTCTCAGATCAGATCCAGGAGCTGGGACAGGTTATAAAACCCAGATCAGGTGTCTGTCTCTCTGCAGCTTTGATAATAAAGCGACGTGTTGCTCCTCTTCCTCTTTCTTCGTCCTCCTCATCAGTCAGCAGCTGCTCTCTGTCACTGGAGGAGAAAGGTCAGAGGTCAGAGGTTAATCTCTGCAGTGGCAGTCTACACAACACTGCAACCAGGTGTTCTACCTGGATGTTATTTGTACAGCCAATCAGAGCGCTTCATTTTCAACCCTTCTCTCCACCTGGAGGTGGATTCAGGGATTTTAGTGACCACCAGGGGGCAGAAGCAACAGACTGGAGCTGTACAGGTGAGGGTGTGAACTCACCATACAGGTGTGTTCAGGGGCAAAGGTCACTCCTTTCCCTACTCTCTCCTGAGAGCCGCTGCTGCTGCCGCTGAGCGAGCTCTTCCTCATGATGCCTGAAGCACAAACACAACATCAGGTTTCATGTCATTACGTCATCTCATTATCATAAACTCTGTTGTTGTTGTTGTTTGTGGTGAACAGGCTGCAGTGCCCCTCCCACCTGCAGGGGGCAGCACGTCCAGTCTCTGCAGGCTGTTTTTGTGAGCAGGCGGGTGGTTCCCGCTCTTGGAGAGGCGGCGTTGGCGATGGTTCAACATGGCGGCTGGAGAGACGATACCAGGGGGCGGGGCTTTACCCATCCTCAGGTACAGTCCCTCGATCTCTCGCTTCTGATTGGCCTGTAGGTTCTGCACCTCGGTCAGGTGTCTGGGGGAGGGAGGGAGAGGATTCATGTCGCGTACTCATCTGGACTCTGATCGAGTCTCATTTACATAAATTAACATAAATAATATGTGAGAGCTGGAAGAAGATCATGTGACCACAGGTGTCAAAGGGCTGGAAGCAGCAACACTCCTGACAGGTCAGTTTTAACTCCTCCTCCTTCTTTACTGTTGCTATGTAACTCTGTTGAATAATGACTAGAACATTATGATGTCACACTGAAGCTGACCTTTGACC